ATTTAGATAGTACAAAGCAGTCGTAGTAAGTCAATAAGGTTAGAGATCCTTGAGAGGGTGTACTCATGGAGAGGCCCTTGTCTAAGGACTAAGGGAAGCATGAGACCCCTATTTTAGTGACAAATCAATTAAGCTTTAAGTAGGTAACACTTGATCAAGATCATGTATGTGACTACTACTTAGTACCATATCTTTAGCACGCTTATGTTTATGAAATTCTTAATGTTGCTCTAGATTAGTGATTATACTGTTGTGCTTTGTAAGCTCAGCCTTCGGATGTTTTCTGTTGGCAGGTTTCTAACTTGGGCCGTTCTTGGAGCACCGTCGCAGCAGGACTTCCAGCATCTCCTTCAGAGTATTGTATTGTAGCTTTAGAGGGCATGCGTATTCTAGGACCTTACTTATGTATTTGAGTTATAAACCTCAAAATATATTATTTTGTTTTAAACTATGTGTCACAAAGCTCCGGTTTTATAAATTGTTTTTATGACAGTTATGTATGTTTTATTTATGATACCGTTAAGTATGTTTTTAAAAGAAATGAGCAGTTTTGAAAATCAAGGGTTGCCTCGGTAGCTTAATGTGGCACTTTAGGCCCAATCGGGTTTAGGGTGTTACAATTCATATATTCCAAACTCATCCTTTTCTATTAAAAAATTAACGGTAATCTAAGTGGACGTTGACTTGCTGATTGAGATATGATAATATCTGATCCCAGAATCTCAAACGACTATCATATCTCAGTCATCATGTTAACATCTAGCTCATACGACCATCAATTTTTTGATAGAAAATGATGATTTTGGAACTTATGAATAGTCAAGTGATCATTTTGTAACTTTTAATAGTCGAGAGACTCAATAATGCAATGTCTTATAGTTGAAGGACTATTTTATAACTTTTAATAATAAGGAGACTCAACAAAATAGTTTTCTATAGTCGACGGACCATTTGTTTACTTTACCCTAAATTCTATTGCAATAAGTGAACTTCTAATTAGGATGTCATATATTAAAGACAACGAAGTGATCTCTAATTTTTGTTAGTTAAAGAAACGAAGTAGAATCATTATTAGTTAAACAACAAAATCAGATTTATTATATTACAAAATCATTATTATGCAAACTCATTAATTAATTTTGCATTAATTAAAGCCATCTTGCTGCTTAATATTTCATTTTCTTTTCTGGGCTATTATTATTTATTTTCTTGAAAGCAAAGAATGAATCCCTTTACCATGTGAAACGTAACTAAACACAAGTCATCACTTTGCCATACTCGTTGCATATAGTAGACCACCATACCAAAATAATTGATTTTATTTTTCAATATTTAATTTAAATCAAAACAATTAATTAAATTATAAATCAACGAAAAAATACATTAAATTTAATGAAAACGTCGATGAAGATGAAAAGGGTGTTTCTTTTTTACGTAATTTTGTGTCCATGAGTTCGTAATACTGGCCACCTAATATGGGTGATTAGTAGGAAAGCAGAATAAATTGCGTATTTAGTACATAAACTATTAGTTTTTGTTCGTTTTAATATCTAAACTTTTAATTTTTTTAAAATCATAATTAAAGTTTTTAATGGTGAGACATTAAAATGAAATAAAAACTAAACATCAGGTATGCTTTTAAAAAAATTGAAAGTTTAGATACTAAAACGGATCAAAATTGATTATTTAGGTACTAAATATGTAGTTTACCCTAGAAAAAAATGGAAGAAGAACACTAATAAAACCCCAACAATTTGTCATGGTAATATACGACTTCACCTCTGCAAATTGGTTAGTTTTTAGTTGGCCAATCTTGTTCATTTCCATTAAAATAAAACCAAAAACCCGCCATTTGTGGACGACTTTAAAAGGGGGAGGAGGCGTCAAGGCTTTGCGTTTGCCTTTGCATTTGCATAGAGTTTACTATCATCTCTGTGAATCCGCCATGGAAGAGAGCTCAAGAACTCGAAGCAACATCATCATGAGAAGATCAATCTACTCTTTCCTTCAAAACTATCATTATTTCACCACAACCGCTGCGATCCTCGCTTTCCCTTACTCACTTTCGGTCCTCGTTTCGCAGTTCTCCGTCCCTTATTCTCCTCTGTTACCAGCAATCCACGGCCACCTCGAAGCCATTTTCGCGGCGGCCTAGTTCCCGCCTTCTTCGGAATTCTTCACGTTCCTCAGTTTCAAGATTTCCGAGACCGTTTCTTCATCGATCTTTGCTCTCCCTTTCACCCTTTCTTTCTTGCTGTTGTCCAAAGCCTCCATTATTCTCCTCCTCAAAAGCAATAACCCGAAATCCCCGCCACCTTCGTTCTCTTCAATTTTTTCTCTTTACAAGCCCCTGTTTCCCACTTTCGTATGCAATTCCTTCCTGCTTCTGGATGCAAATTCGACGGCTTTCTCGATTTTGTTCTTTGGGTTCTCATTATCTCCTAATTGGGTCACCTTCATGTCGGCCGCCGGTGCCGTTGTTTATTCGATGATTCTTGCCAATGCCATTATCTCCTACTTTGACTGCTCTGGCATTGGCGGTGCCCGGGAATCTGGCGTTGGCTGCCATTGAAGCTCTGTTCCATTACCGTGTTGCTTCGAGAGCTTATGGTGGCGGTGGTGATTTCAATGGCTTTTCGATGGCTATGGAAGGGGTTTTGATTGCTTACTTGTACTCCATTTTCGTTGTTCTTGATACTGTTGTGGGTTCCACGTTCTTCAAGAGCTGCAAAACTGGGTGTTTGGTGGATCGGGAAGGGAGGTATTGTTACAAGATTGAGATTGTTGCGGAGAAGGATGGAAATGCCTATGTGAAGTTGAAGAACATCGAGGAGTTTCCTTAGGTAAAATGATCATCAAGTCTTGGATTTCAAAGCGAAAAAGATGAACAAGAATCTGCATATGTAAATCCATACAAACAAGATTCATTTTCCGGGAAAATTTGGATTCAAAACTCGAGAAACACGAGAGGGATTCTTTCTTTTTAATTCCTTATAAAGTTATGATAGAATTTGTTTTGGGATTTGGGAACTGATATTCGTGTATGCTCTTCTGTAAACAAGACTAAATGCTCTAGTCATGGGAAAGTTGCATATTATATGCGTGCCTTTGTAAACCCTAAACAAAGGCACCCAAAAAGAATTTGTAAACCCCAAAGTTTTGATAGAATTTGTTTTTTGCTCGAGCCATGATACACTGTTTAGTAGTGTATCATTTTCGTGTTTAAACAAAGAGTGGAGTATCGTTCCCTGGAATTAAGGGAAGTGGACCATTTTCTCATGTTTGGTTCAAGTTTTTAAATGGGGAATTGAAATTCAATTCCATCGAGGGAGGTAAAGTAAATTTCATCCATAATATGATGGAATTAAAATCCTTTGGAAGAAGAAATGTGAAATTTGATCATACTATTTTCATTAATATTTTGTTATTCGGGTCAGATTTTTTTTTAAAAATCGAGATTGGTCGGATTTTTTAAAAAAAAATCGGGTTCGGGTCAGGTCGGTCGGGTTTTTTTAAGTTTGATATTCGGGTTGGGTTCGGGTTTAGGGTGAAAAATACCAAGCCCGACCCGAAAAAATATATAATTTTACCTTATATATTTACGAATAATTACAATAATACCCCTCTATATATTTTTTTTCAATTAAGTCATTGTTTTTATTGAATAAAAATAATTTTTTTATTATTTCGAGTCGGGTCGGGTTCTAATTCATATATTCGGGTCGGGTCGGGTTGGGTGAAACTTTATTTTGGTCGGGTCTCGGGTGGAGGTTCCCTTGTTCTCGGGTCGGGTCGGGTGGACCAAAAACCCGACCTAACCCTACTCATGGCCATCCCTAATTGAGATGATTTTAACTTATGATGTTTATTAGTATGATTTTTATAATTTATTGAAATGAATAATCAATCAATAAAATGAAAATTTAATATTTTTAAAATTTTTATAATATATTGCTACGTGTAAGTTATAAAACAAACTAAAATTAAGCAAAAAAAAACAAGAAGGACAATTCTGTCATTTTACATTAATGAAATCAAATTCATCTAACATGTCTGCGAACCAAACAGAATATGGAATTGGATTCCAATTCAATTTCCTGCCAACCAAACATGTTTCAGATTCAGATTTCAATTCCTTCACAGATTTCAATTCCCTCATAAATATTTCAGCAAACCAAACGTCACCTAAACACCCAAAAAGATTCTCATAATTTGGCTTGACTCAAGTAGGAGTGTAAATGAGCCGAACTTGAATGAATAAGGTTATATTCATGTTCGTTTATTTATTTTTAAAAGTATTCATATTAATATTTAATGTTATGTTCGTGTTCATTTGTTTATCTTTTAAGGTGTTTATGTTCTTAATTTAACGTTTATGAACTGTTCACTACATAGTCGTTTAAATGTTCATAAACATACTCGTTTAACATTTGTGTCCAACGTTCATTTATATTCGCGAACATGTTCATTGTTCGCAAACATTTTCATTTGCATACTAAAATGATAAAATTATGCCACTAGTGCTTAGATTCTATAAACTTCATAATTTAAACTCTGAATTTCACAATGTATTCAATTTAGTCCCTACATTCATCAATATTTAAACGTGAAAAAATAAAATACAAATGAAACTTCTAAACGAGTTTGTTCATGAACATAAATGAACAAGTCAATAAACGAGCTCATAAACGAACCGAACACACCTCTATTCGTGTTCGTTTATCAAACAAACATAAAATATTTGTTCATACTAGCTTATTTAACTTAACATACGAACATAAACGAACACTATAAGAGCACAATTCACGAACAGTTCATCGAACGTTCTATTCATAGCATTGAGCTTTAAATTTCAAATCGATTTTGAACTCGAGCTCTCTTACAGCTCGACCTCGAGAAATAGTTAAAATACAAGAGAAGAAACAGACGATTCCATGAATTGCTTCTTGATTGAGGAATGAAGCCAAATCATATCCAATGAAAGGAAAGAAACCAAGGGAGGTTTTAAAAATCGGCAGGCTATATATTCCGGGTGCTATATTACAGTTACATCAAGAAAGCCCCTCTTCTAATTTCTCTTTTTTCCTAAAACCTAACATCCTATACAACCTCTCCCTATGGCGGGCCTGTTTCTTGGAAAAATGCAAAAAAACAAAAGATTATGTTACAAGAATACAAGATAAAAGAATTGAATTCTACACTATGAAGATGGTTAGAGTTGTACACTACATGCCTTCATGGTACGGTGGGTCTCACCGGCTTCTATGAGTCCACTGGCATCCATTCTGATGCCGAAACAAATACGACAGATGAATGATGGCAGATGAAAAGAAATCATTCATTGCCTGGACTTGCCGGTCCACCCAGTTTAGGGTTCAGAAAATAATGCGAGAAGGGTCATAGCAGTTACCTTGATAGCTTGCATTTTAAACCTCTGCTACTCTCCTCATAACCCACTCTATGCGTATAAGTTCGGTCCGACTACTCCAAAAAGAATTTCATTGAATCATTCGTAGTTATTTGATTTGGATATCTTCCCATGGAAAATGTCTCCCGAAGCCTTATGCATAATTCAAGTGGCCTGAAAGCCTCGTTTACGACATCTCTGAAGGCATGAAATAGGAGGCACGTCAAAAGTCCTCGAGAAGCAGCGGTTCCTGTAATTCAGTCATTCTCATCGGCACGGGTATCTGCTGATTGGAAGGATCGTACTACCTTGTAGGAATATAGAAACTGATTTTCAACTATTTCACACTCTTCCTTTTAAGGTTGGTTTCCTTGGCTTTCTCCATTTCAGCCTCCTTCTCGGCTTTCTTCCTGTCCAGTTCAGCCTGTTTAACATTCTCTTCATGTGCTTTCCGAAACAACCTCACGAAATTTAAGAGCGTTGCAGTAACTGCATTGATCAATACAGCATCAGATTGGACCAACTTCACATCACTATATAAAACTAGCGTACAACATCAAATTTGACCGGTTCAACTTCAAACAACTTAGATTATTCAGACTCGAGTGTGACTATAGGTATGGATGCGTCAGACACAGATATGTGCAATTTCTTTCAAGATTTTTATGTATTTGGAAAGTCTTTCAGAGCATCATATCCCCATATCCAGATGTGGATAAGGCACGGATAATTCAAAAAAACTAGAAAGGAGCAACATAGCAAATCACCGTACAGAACTAGCTGTGACGAACATCATTATATAAAAACAAAGAGAACCCTAACTAGGATAGAGATTTCGGTATTTCAAAATTTTCAAATTGAAACTCTATTCAAACTTGAAATTCGAATCAAATTGAGTTTTGCTCACCCCTAAACCAAACAAAGGCCTTATATTGTCTTTTATAGACCTTTTCCCCAATTTTTCATATTTGGTTATTCAACTTATTTTATTGATTATAGTTCAACTTCCAGAGAATTTTAGCCCATTGACCATATGAGGACTGATGTTTATTTCCATTTCATGGGAGGGGGGAAGGAGGAATAGAAAAAGGGGGTTTAGTGTGGTGTGAAGGTTGGAGAAAAAGCAAAGAAAGATAGGTGAATAAAATGCCTTCTAATATTCTTACTAAGAACATAGTGAAGGCATAATCTATCTTAACCAAGACTCGGGTGTGAGTGTCGACAACTACACACCCAACATGGGCATGTTCAATTTTTTTTCATGTATATGGAGTTTCAAATCCCCATACTAGAAGTTTCCATGGGCCAGTCCAGACAGGACAACAAATTTATTTTTAAAATTTTCCAGACTCAAACCTAACCCATATTAAATTTAAATAAAAATAATTTTAAATTATTTAAATAAAGTTTGTGTCGGCCTGGGGGAGCCATCTCGTGGACAGGTCTACCCCATACCTATGTCTGGATATGCAGCGGAAGGTGTCGGATATAAGTATTTCAAGAAAAACAGAGAGGCAGAACAACAAAGGTCATAATAAGTATAGAAGGTATAACTATAGAATCTACCTTGCTCAAATGGGCACCGGGCAGGATCCTCACCAAAATAGAGTGCAAGCGCATCTGCATTTCTACCCTGTCCACCAAAAAGTTGAAAGAACCTAAATGATCGAACATAATAAAGAGTTGGACAACAACGCATGATGTATCAATGAGAATGTTGACAGTTGGAAATTTACCACCGTAGAATATAGATTTGTTAAGGACACCACCTCGGTCTCAGCAACAGAAATAAATTCCTTTAATGTCTAGATTAAAACAAGAAAAAAGAAATGTTCAGAACAATGAAAGCATTCCCAAGATAAATGAAAAAACAATTGATGGTGTTAGATGTAGGTGACAATGCTACATAACAGATGATCACGCCAATGCACCAGAAAACAATATAAAACCCAATGGCATTCAAATGAAAAGGACTGCCATGTAAGATCAGAGAACATTATCCGAAGGAATGTTCAAAACAGAGTATGATTTCTATCCATATAATTCTGACGTTCCACTATATTTACAATAATCACTTGTGCTGCAAAGCTAATGCCTTTGCCTTTTAAACGTGTATTACTCTGGTTCTTTTTTACTAACCAACTTTTAGGGGCATTACATGTTTACATACAATTTCTCTTATTGCATTCTATAAAATAGTTACACATGCAAAGGGTGAAATAAAGGAAAGCTATTAGCTAATCAGGAACTCCATCAATAGTCAACAAATAGAATATGATTGAATACAATAGTTGAATGGGGTAAGATACAGTGAAGACAATTCAACAAACCTTGTAAGCTACGTTGAATCATAAAAAGAAATGAAACAATTATGTACCTTCCGGAAAACTTCAGATACAGGACCATCATTTTCAGAGGCAACCAGCTCCTGCTTAACCTTTTCTAATCCCTTAATTATAGCTTGCATTTCTTCTGCTAAAGATTTTAATTGTATCTGTACAGGAGGCAAGGCTTCAAATTAATATAGCATCATCAAACTACAAACCTAAAATGCTAAAAGACTGATGAAAACCTTAGTTGCAGCTTCGAGGCTAACAAATTCAAGGTGAAAATCCAGAAGCGTGGGTGCCTTGGCAGCTAGAACCTAAGCAAAAATAAAAAGAGTAAGTTCCTCTTCTTTAGTAGTAACATAACATATAAACTGGGTGTAAAACATAATTCAGGCAATTATTACATGATCAGAATGATCTTAATAACACCAGAGTAAAAGATAATTAGTGAAAAACCTTGCAAAGATAATGCATAAGCGTCATCTTGCTGGTAGAAGCACGTGTATCTGTGAGCTTTAGAAGACTGTCCAACTTAAATCCAATAGCAGAACCTGTATAATTGTAAATAGTTTGGAACTTCATATTAAAGTAACATGCAACAATTAAAAGATTTTCACCAACTCAAATCGGAATGGTTGATCAGAATTGAATGCATAAATATATAAAAAAATAAAAAGAGACGACATTTTTAACTAGTAGCTTTGGAGAGAGACAAAAAACAAAACTGGAACTAGTAGCATAACAAGGAATAAAGTATTAGTGATGCATCAAGTAAACAAAATAGATGACATAATTTTGGAAGCTGGACGTAAAATGGCATATATGCATAACTCAATTAGAGTTCTAGCTATTGATGATCAGATAAAATTGTTAACTTCAAAAAAAACATGAGTGAGAGAGTAAAAAACGTAGAGAGATAAATAGTGATAGGGCATGATTCCGTTGGGGAGAGCTGGACGATTTTCGTTGATAATCTTAGTAAGAGGGTCTCAAGAGGAAAGTTAAGGGAAATATTTCATCATTATGGTCAAGTTGTGAGGATTTTCATCCCAAAGTTTACTCTGAAGCCGAAATATATAAATTCTATTTTCGCGTTTGCTCAGTTTGCAAGTGAGGAAGGGAGGAGGGCTATACAGTCTGTAAACGGAACTTGGATTGATGGGAAAAGGGTTATAGTAGGGATAGAAAAATATTGAAAAAATCGGAATGGAGAAGCTTCTGAAGGAAGGACTGAGAGGATCGGTTCAAAGGCATTAAGGGTGGAGAAAACAACGGACAGAATCATTCTGGATTTTTGGGAAATTTGAGGGATAGTAGATCATACAAGGAGGTGGTGGAAACGATTAATAGAAAGGATAGTGAAAATGTTAATGAGGAAGTTAGAGAAAGGTCAAAGAAGGCTGCAAATGGGTTAAGGATTGTCTGGGAGTTGCACATCCCTACGGAGGATTCGGACTGGGTTAAAAGGTCCTTTACAGGGGTAATCAAGCTTCCATTCGAGCAGGATTTTGTTCAGAAAGCTTTGGCGAATGAAGGTATTCAGGTTAAAATAGCGAGATGGGGTTATGCATGGAATGCATGTGTCGTTACATTTAAATCGATTGAAGAGTATTCCGAAGTATGGGCACAAAAACAGGATGATTTGTTTTATTGGTTCGACTGACTGGCTCCATTGCTGAATGATGAGGGAGTGCCATTGACGTTCTGTCTGGTGGAATTAGTGGGATTACCGCTATTATGCTGGAATGGGGAGTTTATGGAGAAACTTGTTCAAAAATGGGGGAAATTCATATGCATCAAAGAGTCCTCAAAAAATAGGTCAGACCTATCGTTAGCGAGAGTTTTGATCAGGGTGGTGAGTCCATTTGACGTCCCGGAATCGATCACAAAAGGGTCCTACGGCAGATCATACAAAGTCAAAGTCATCTTGGGTTCGGTTGAATCAAAATTGGATGATTTTTCCGGGGAGAAGGTTGATGAAATTTCAAAAATTGGGTACAGTGAAAATGATTTTTCCAAGGAAGAGAGAAGCTGCCGACTGTGTCTAGAGGAAGTTGACAATCACAAGAAATCTGAGGACTCTAGGCTGAAGGTAGATATGTGGCTTGACCAGGAACAGAGAAATAGGTTGAAAAAGGGGGACAAGGAGCAGTTTATTCCAAAAAAGTCAAATACTGATACCTGTAATTTTGGGCTGTCAAATTTTCTTGGAAAAGGAAAATATCCTAAAGGGGATCACGTGGGTCTTGGGTTGAGGGAAGAAATGGTCCTAGATGTTCAAGCCCAAGAGGATGACAATTTGAGCTCTATTTCATAATATGAAGATTTTGTGTCCTTCAGGGCTTGCGTATAATTTAAAGTGGATTGGTGAAGGGTCCAAAGGAAGATTTATGCCTCAATTAAACAGGAATTTGAATAAGTCAAGGGATGAAGTGGTAGAGGATGGGGTGGACTTGGACAAGGTAGTTAAGAATGTGGAAGATACAGAGGTGGAAAATGAAGATATACCAGTTGAACCAGCTGGAATTCAGTCACTGGAAATTACTAAGGGTTCGTTATCAAATGGTCTAAGGAGATGGAGTCCTTTGGATCATCTGTCTAGAAGTTTGGCTATTAGAAGCGTTCCGGTTGGACGGTGGAATAGAGGAACTTGTAACAGTGTATAGAAGAACAACAGTAAGAAAGGTTTGGTATAACCTGAGCAGAGAAGAAGGGTTGTTGCAATCAGTAGAGCTGATTGACCAAAATAGAAAAGCATCCAATCCTATCGCGAACACTCAATCGTTCCCAATGTTAATGGAGGAAGGTAACATTTGTGTTGATGAGGAAGGTGGTTCTCCTCGAAAAGAAGCTGATGATAAATTTCAGCAATCTGGGAGTGTAGAAGAAGTTAGAGCAGGTTGTTTCTCTGGATCAGGGGCCGGGAAAGAGAGAAGAGAAAGAGAAGGATTTTAATAAGGGAAGCTTTGGATGTGGTTAGTTCTCCTACAGTCTCCACTTCTTCTTTCTCGTTGTTTTTGGAGGAGGCATTGGCTGTGGGAAGTCAGTAGGATGCTGGGGATTTCCTTCAAAGAGGGTAAGAAGGCTTTTTTGGAAAAAATTATAAAACTTGAGGAGGGTTTGGGTGATAGTAGGAATTGTTGAAAGCAGCGAATTAGGATTTTGTGCTTCTTAGTTCAGAGGCTTTTGGGTTCTTTTTGTTTTTATGACAGTCATCAATATTATTTCGTGGAACATAACGGGTTTGGGGAAGAAGGAGAAATCCAGAGTAGTGGCTAATTTGGTTAAAAAGAATAAGTCGTGCATCTTACTCATCCAAGAAACAAAGCTAACTGTTCTATGGCTCTTAGGAAAAGGATAGGGGGAATTTTCTTAAGGGAGGAGTTTTTTCATCAGCTGATGGGTCTGCAGGTGGACTATTGGTATTGTGGAATGAGAATGAGTTTGAAGTTTCCAACAGTCATATAAGTGGCAGATTTATAGCTATATTTGGGAAGTTTAAGAATATAGAAGAAGAGTGTGTGATTATAAATGTATATGGTCCGTCCATTGAATCTGAAAAGGAAGAATTCTTCAGGGAGTTGTTGGAGTTTGTTTCTGCTCAAACTATTTCAATTTGCATTGGGGGGATTTTAATTTGTATCTTGATCCGGCTAAGAAGTTGGGAAGGTCTCAAAACTGGCATTCTGTTGATACTCTTAGAAATTTCCTGCAGCTAACTAATCTAATTGATATTCCTTTGGTGGGAGGAAGCTTTACTTGGTGTAACAACAGAGAAGATTCAACTTGGGTCAGACTTGATAGGTTCTTAATTTCAGGGAATTTTTTTACCAGTTTTCTGAGGGTAGTGCAAAGACTTTTACCTAGGTCTCTATCTGATCACAATCCAGTTTCATTGGAGGAATCGTCTATAGGGTGGGGCCCTAAACCTTTCAGATTTTTTAATTATCTATTAGAGGAAGAAGGTTTTGAGGACTTGGTTAAATCTACCATGGATGGCTTGAGGGAGAGGAACAAAAGAAGTGGCATCTTCAGCATTCTACAGGAAACTAAAAAATAAATTAGAATCTGGTCAAGCAGGAAATTTAATGGGATTTCTGAGTCGATTGAAGATTTGGAAAGGAAAATAAATGAGTTGGAACTTAAGGCACAAGATAGTAATCTTTCTACTCAGGAGTGGGATCAGGTTAAGCTGTTTAGATCGGATCTTTGGAGGCTATACAGGATTGAAGAAAGTATTTGGTTTCAAAAAGCAAGAACGAGATGGATTAAAGGCGGGATAGAAACACAAGATTTTTTCACCTGTGTGCTTTAAATAGAAGTAGAAGAAATGCAATTACTAGCTTGAAGATTAATGGAATTGTAGTTCAGATCCTTTCTTGATTAAGACTCATATTTCTGATTTTTTCAAGACCGAGTATAATTCCATTTTGACAATGGAAGTGGAGGACTAGTTCTGGACTTTACAAAACTGTCACGGGATCAGACATCTAAGCTAGAGGAGCAATTTTCAGAACAGGAGATTTGGCAAGCTATAGCTACTTCGGACAGCTCTAAATCTTCAGGTCCGGATGGTTTCACAATGGGTTTTTCCAAGAAATGTTGGCATGCATTAAAGGAGCATGTGTTGAAATTTTTTAAAGATTTCTATATTGGAAGGAAGTGGGAGCATGGGGTAAATCACGCTTTTATTACTCTAATTCCGAAGAAATTAAATCCGGAAAATATAGAAGACTTTAGACCAATTAGCTTTGTGGGCAGTTTGTATAAGATCCTATCAAAAGTCTTATCTAAGAGACTAAGCTGCTGTGTTGGTGATGTCATTAGTCCTTTCCAGTTTGCTTTTATACCGGGGAGACAGTTGTTGGATTGTGCCTTTATTGCTAATGAAGGGATCGATTATTGGAGAAAACAAGGACTACAAGGGGTGGTATTAAAAGTTGACTTTCGTAGAGCCTAGGATTCCGTTGAATGGCCTTTACTAATCAGAGCAATGAAGGAGATGGGATTTGGTATTAGATGGTGCTCGTGGATCTCACAGTGTCTTTCCTTAGCTTCAATTTTGGTTCTTGTGAATGGCTCCCCCTCGGATGAGTTTCCTATGGCTAAAGGGCTTAGACAAAGATGTAGTCTCTCTCCGCTTCTATTTAATATAGTAGGGGAGTTGCTGCATTTGATGCTTTCTAAAGCAATTGATAAAGGTCTGTTCCAAGGTTTCATTATTAGGAATTCTGAAGATTCATTTCGGTTATCTCATCTTCAGTTTGCTAACGATCTCATCATTTTTTGCCAAGCTTCACTTAACCAGATTAAAAATGTTAAAAGAATTTTGACGATTTTCAGTATAATGGCTGGGTTGCATCTAAATTTAGCGAAGAGTAAACTTTTTGGGATTAACGTTGATGAGGTTATTCTATCTGATTGGGTGTTGGAAGTGGGCTGTTCAGTTGGTCGATTTCCCACAGAATATCTGGGACTTCCCCTCGGTGCTAGGAAGAATTTTGAAGCTTTATGGGAGCCAGTTTTTAAAAATTTTAATTCTAAACTAGCCGGGTGGAAAGCTTATTCTCTTTCTTTGGCTGGTAGGACAGTCCTATTGAAGTCTGTGTTATCTTCCCTGCCCATATTTTTCTTATCATTCTTTAAAATGCCTTGCAAAGTAGGCAAGAAGTTAAATTTTTTAATGGCCAAATTTTTATGGGGACACAGCACGGATAAGAGGAAGATCACTGGGTTAATTGGAGTACAGTTTGCAAACCTATGAATAGTGGTGGCCTTGGTGTTATTGATTTGAATCTTACGAATCGAGCACTATTGGGGAAATGGGTGTGGAAGTTCGCAAACGAAAAGAATTTCGTATGGAAAAGAGTGTTATGTAGCAAGCATAAGATTAGTTGCAACACTATGTCTATCAGCAAGGTTATTTCTCCTAGATCTTCTTGGATTTTGAGAAGTATTGCCAACAATTTTTGGAAGAATGATTCGGTAGGAAATTGTCTTAGATCATATTCGAAGTTGCAAGTTGGTAATGGAAAGTCTATTTCATTTTGGATTGATCCATGGGTGGAAGAGGTTCCTCTAAAAAATCTTTTCCCGAGAATCTATGCATTGTCTCCTAACAAATGGGGCAAGGTTGCTGATTTTGGCAGTTTTGAATCGAATTGTTGGGTGTGGAATATTTTCACTAGGAGGAATTTGTCTGATTGGGAATTGGATCCATGGATGGATTTGATGTCGAAATTGAAGGATATAAAAATTTCAGATTCTGTAGAAGATTGTCTCTCGTGGTCAGCAAGTGGGGATGGACTATTCTCGGTCAAATCTTGCAGAAGTGCACTCGGAGGAAGCTGTGGGTACTGATCTGTGGTCAAAGGGGGTGTGGTTGGGACTGTCCCCACCTCGGGTTGAAGCTTTCCTTTGGCAGTTAGCTCATCAGAAAGTGACAGTTAAAGTGGAGTTGGTTAACAGAGGAATGTCCCTAGGTGAATATATCCTTTGCCCATTTTGTAAGAAGCATGAGGAATCAGTGCAGCACTTGTTTATAACGTGCAATGTAGTTTGGGAATTATGGAATAAGGTAGTAAGCTTTTGGGATTTATCTGTAGTTTTACCAAAGGACCCTCCTTCTTTACTTATCTCGTGGGGGAATTTGAGGGTGAATTCATTGATTTGGAAGTTTATCCTGGGAGTCATTTTTTGGTCTATTTGGAAAGCAAGGAATGAAATTGTGTTCGAAGGATTATCTCTTGACAGGCTCTCTCCGTTTTTCATTGTAAGATTTAGGTTATCTAAATGGTTTAAAGCCAAGTATCCTAAATTTCCTATACATGAGGATTTGCTCATTGGGGATCCTTCACTTGCAGATGGGATTTCTGTTTCTGAATCTAAGGACTGTTCTGTGCTTTGCTGGCTACCCCCTGTTGATTTTTTGAAGATGAATGTCGATGGAGCTGTAAGGGTAAATGACTCGGTTGGAGGTATTGGAGATATCCTAAGGGACTGGAATAGTTGCACTCTTCTGACATTTTCAGAGAATGTCGGTCAAGGTTCCCCACCAGTTGTCGAATTAAAGGCTATTAAAAGAGACATTGAAATCTTTTTGGCATCACGTTGGTTTTCTGTCACTAGGTTGATTGTTGAGAGTGATTGTAAGTCAGCAGTGGAGTGGATCCACTCTTCGGCTTTGGCTCCTGTTTTCTTATTTCCTCTAGTTAAAGAGATTCTATCACTATTCTCTGAAAAGGTGTTGTTAATTAGGTTGATTCCAAGAGCTTGTAATGGGGAGGCAGATAGTTTAGCAAAGAAGGGGATTGGTTAATTGTAAGATTATAGTTTGTTATTTTCTTTCCCAGTTAGCAGGTTTTTCAAGTAGGTGGAGTTGTTAAGTTTTATGTCAGTTTTTCTGGCGTAATTGTTAAGTCTTAAGTAATTTTGGTTCAGTAATAAAACGAGGCACTTTTTTCCTCCCTCCACTAGTGGATCCTTTCTGTTGGGAAAGGGTTATCTATGAGGGAGGTTTTTAATGAGGCCTCCTATTCCTATCAATTAAAAAAGTTCTAGCTATTGATAAGGATGCATAGATGATTACACCAGTGAAGCATTCTTCTTTTGATTTGGATTTAAATACATGCCTTAGGAATCACACTGCTGAACCACTATATAAAAAGTGCCAATTTAGTATACATCTATGAAATTTAGGGTGTGTTTGATAACAGGAAAATGTTCCTGTGTTCGATAGTTGGAAAATATTTTCCTGTGTTTGATGGTTGTAATTGGCTCTCCTAATGTAATTGGTTTTCCTAATTCCTTTGTCTTTTATGTAAAATGTTTTACCATCTGATTTTCGGTAAAACATTTTCCTTTTCACTTCAAAGTATAAGCACTCAAAAAATATTATTTTATTTATTTAATATTAATATAATATGAAAATATGAAAATATTAATTACTAAAATATTTAATATATATAATATAATTTTAATAATATTATATTAACATGTACTTAGTTATATTATAATAATATATTATTATATTATATTTTTAATTTAATAATGTATAATAAATTATTAATATAATTAACATTATCTATTACTTTTATAGATATAATATTGTTAAATTATTAATAATGAATAATATTAATTTATATATTTAATATTAATATAATAATTTAGTATTATGTTAATAAAATATTAATAATTAAAATTAGGGGTGTTCAAATGGTTAATTCGACCACTGATCGAACCGAATTTCAATTAATCAAATTAGTTGAACTTTTTTTTCTTTAACCGTTAATCGAACTGATTTTTTAAAAATATTAACTAAACTGAACTTTATTCAATTTATATGTAAATCATTTTCTATAAAATTAATTATAGTATACCAAACAATTAGTGAAAAATGATTTACATAATATCATTAGAACACCTTAAAATAGTTTTCGAAAAATGTTCTCCAGAAAATGTAATTTATTTACGTAAAATAGTTTTAGGTAATTCATTTTACGTAAAACAGTTTTCATGTAATTCGTTTTACATAAAACAGTTTTCAGGTAATCCATTTTCTGTAAATTATTTTCTAGAAAACCAATTACAGTCTATCAAACAGACCCTTAGAAACAACATAAACACCAAGACTCTAAGTCGCCAGGCAACCTCAAAGATTAAGACAAACTAGGAACTAATATGAGAATTTTAGAAAAGCATATTTAACTTTTCTTCTTACATCCAAATAACATTTGGCATTTCTTCTAAAGAAGAGGAAGTTAGCATATGGGATTGTAAACTAAGCCTTAACAGCATCACTATCAGAAATGATAAGCATAGTTTTAAAAACTGTGTATATGCCCCAGGACAATTCAGATGAACAAGATTTCCAGTTTGAGATGCAGTAATGCTGTAAAATTAACGTGACCTCGCTTGAAACAAAGTAAGTAAACACAAAAGCACGTATTATTCACATGAATGAGTCTAGACAAACATCAAAGTACTACATTACAAATGTGTGTATAGCTAGTAGCTCTCTCCTCTACAAAACGTTTTTATAAGCTGCAGTTCTAGCATTAAAGATAGAAGCCAAAAGGAAAATTAAACATGGCACGTACCCCTTGCGGTTCCTTGGTTCAATGTATTTCCCAGATAGAGAATTTTCTTCATGATCTCCTTTAATTTATGGGAATTCCGTACCTAAATAACCAAAATAGAAGTAGTAAGACAGAGAATATATAAAAAGTGCAGTCAAGTCTCTTCAAAGATATTAATGATGTACCTCATTACATGCAGAATTTATAGTGTTCAAGCTCTTCTTAAATTCAGAAATCTGCAGGTGGTAAAAAGTGTGAGGACCCACGTCAAAGACTGGATTCAATAACGCAAAAGAGATCAAATCAGATTAACTAAGGAGATACCACCAAACCTGAGAACCGAACTGAATCTTGAAGGAAAACACTCTTAATTTTGACTCCACTCGCGGCACTTTCATCAGCTCCAAAAAGTACTGAAAAAAAAATTCAAAGCCAGTTAGTATTTATAAGATTTTGCAAGATGGATCCAGAGAAGTATCCAGGAACTAATTGTGTTAGCCAGAGTTTCTTCATAAAAGAAATACCAGTCATTATCTGGTATTTTCTACAAATCTCATTATTCTCAAGTGATTTACATTTTATCTTTTTGATGTCAGACCAACCAAATAGCCTCTTGCACTTCCATTTACTGATACCTACTTAATAAAAATTAGGAGCATAGAAGCACAGGATCTTTGTCGAGGGTAATTTTTCCCTGGAACATCCTTATATTTCTCTTTCTCCAAAAAACCACAAAATCAAGTGAGGGATAAATCTATCAGTCTCCTAACCATATATCCAAGACCTAATTCCTTTCCAAGAGAAGCATGCACCAACGTTGAGCCAAATGCATGATTGCAAAAATATTAGATGGTCATAATTTAGAAGTGAACACAAAGGGAAATCATATGTCAGAAGACTGCATTTGCCACAAGTCAATCGCTATGCAACCATCAATCACTCTACCAATATAAAACACCCAAGTCAAACAATTTGACAAAGTTAGAAGATATGGCTATAGGAAATTTTGCAGACCTGTTCACACTTCCCTAGACTCTCCTTGTCACCAGTGTAGCCCTAAAAAATCACATAGATAGTAAATCACAATCAAAGAAGACAAAACTTAAAATGATAAAAGGATTCCTACCGTGATAATAAAAGCAGTTGGAAAGAGGTTAAAATTCAATACTGATGTAAGAATATGCTAAAGCTTCACCTTTAGAAGTTCCATTTCCTCTTTAGTGGGGCAAAATTTAATGAGATTTTCCACTTGATCAACATCTAATACTGTATCATCCATTGCTAGAACTGCAGCCTGAGAAAATAGATGCAGCTGTAAATGGATAATAAACGAATAAATTGAAAACATTTTATTAAAATTAAGAAGAAAATGGAAAACGAGGAAGATAAAGAGGATCAATTCAAAGAAAATCCCATTTTCTTCCATGCATCCACTAATTTAGTCAAATATAGCATGAGAATCCTAATTAGCAGCATAAACCGAGATGTAATATGCTGAAGAAGCCAATGCTCCTAAGGAGACCACCTCCCTGGGCACTTAAGTGCAATTGTGCAGCCACTAGTAAATAACATGAATCAAGTAAACTTTTTCCTGTTCATATATATTATGGGGAAAATTAAAGCTGCCATATTCCAAGTTTACATCTGTATTGATGATCATATCATACACCACTTCCTCTATTTGTGTTTAAAACACAAATAAATGCAAGAACAGGACTGTATCCAGCTTACCATCATATCAGAAAGTGGCATCTTAACTTTAGTGAGCATAATTTCAGTGTTGTTGGCCCTCCTCAAGTCAATCTACAATCCGATAACAAAATTGTCAGTGATGAAATCAAAGAAGGGTTAAATAGGAATCACAATGATGGTACTACAAAGTTCGACGAATGTAATAAACACAACTTTTTATACATTTTGGCATTTCAAGAAAGGTATTTTTACATCAATATTATGTCCCAACTCCCAAGAATACAGAAAAACATAAGAACATCAGGGATAGAAATCAAGGAGAATGTACCTAGTCCCAAGAGAACTTCCTAGTGGTTAGAGCTTGGATCTCAGAATGGGATTTATGGGATCAAGAGGATCACCTCCCCTTGCATTGTCAAAATACCTAAGCCCCAACCCCCAAAAACAAAATAAAAATAAAGGATGCATATCGAATAAAGCTTCATTAATATCATCAACTTGTAGCTTTTTTTTTGGAACAAAAAAAAAAGAAGTGCGTATCATTAATGCATAGTCAAAATACTTATGTTCCCCCAAAAACTTAAGGATGTATATAGAATAAAGCTTCATTAATATCACCAACTTGTAGCTTTTTTTGGAATAAAAAGAGAACTGTGTATCATTTGTTCAAACCAGAAGACAAAGACAAGAAATCCTTCTCTCATGAAACATAGAATCCTGTACTATATGTTTAAAATAACGAATTCTTCAATTTCTAATATTGCGAATCTTGTTCATTCAGTCTAAGGTGGTTCGGTAACATTACTACAATCACTGAAAAAGAAACATGTATATGGTTTATTCAAAAATAAAGAAATAAACTCCAGATTACCAAGTGAACTTTTTCAGGCTTTGATCCAACCGATTTGCGTTGTCCTCGAGATTTACCCCCAGCATCAGCAGGTTTAGGAACAACAGCAGAGAAAAGAGTCTCAATCTCTGACACATCAAATTCAGGTGCACTGGCGAAAGAAGGCAATGTCAACAAATACAAATGGGAAATATATAATGCCATAGAAACTTAGCATAAATATCTAGTCAGAATTTATCACTTATATAGGTGAACCGTACAAAATGGGTAAAAATCAGTATAAGATATAATACATTTGAGGCTCTCCGTATCTTTGCAATTCTTCCCATAAGCTTCCTTGAACTGCCCTTGTAACCTTGCTCCAGTGTAATGGTTTTAAGGAAGATCTCCGAGGTGTTGCAGTTGCCCCAGGACGTGATAGCCCACGCCCTCTTCCTCTCACATCAGTTGCTCTAGCACCCACTGGTGGAGGCGGAGGTGCACCACGAGGAGCTCCAGGTGGAGCTGGAGGGCCAGGAGCTCGACCTCCAGGTGGCGGCGGTGGAGGTGGTGCTCCACCTGGAGGAGCTGGAGGAGCACCACGCATAGGAGGTGGGGGCGGTGCAGGCGTTCCACGCATAGGAGGTGGAGGCGGTGTTGGCACTCCACGCATGGGAGGTGGGGGTGGTGCAAGCGCTCCTTGCACAGGAGGTGGGGGTGGTGGTGCTCGATGTGGGGGAGGAGGTGGAGGTGGCACTCCACTCGAAGGGGGAGGGGGTGGTGGCGATGGAGGAGGTGGGGCACCAGACATCAACGGAGGAGGAGGGGGTGGTGGTGCTCGATGTGGGGCAGGAGGTGGAGGTGGCACTCCACGCAAAGGGGTAAGAGTTGGAGGAGGGGCACCAGACATCAATGTGGGTGGTGGAGATGGTGGAGGTATGACACCAGACATCAATGTGGGAGGAGGTGGGGCACCAAACATCAATGTGGGTGGTGGAGGTGGAGAAGGTGAGACACTAGACTTCAATGGAGGTGGTGGAGGTGGAGGAGGTACGGCAGTAGACTTCCCTCCTAATGGTGGAGGTGCCTCTTGAGTTCCTCTCAACAAAGGAGGAGGCGATGGTGGTGGAGAAGCCCCATGATGAGGAGGCACTGGTGGAGGCGGGGGAGCTGGAGCTGGAGCTCCAGAAAATGGAGGGAGTGGGGGTGGAGGAGGGGCTGATGGCATTCCACGCATGAAGGATGGAGTCATAGCACCTGGAAATGGTGGGGGAGGGGGAACATTACCAAGTTTTAATGTGCTTGATTTGATAGAAGTACTGTGAGGAGAACATGCTACACTAGGGGCATCTGAAAAATACCCAGATTTCCAAGGTGGTGGAGCTGGAGGAGGCAACACCAGTTCGGCAGCCTGCTTGCTGGAAAATGGGGGAGGAGGAGGTGATTGCGGCGGTGGTCGAGATGGCAAGTGTGTAGGTGGAGAGCTAGGTGGAACAGAGACTGACTGCTGTAGACCAATAGTTGATGCTGGAATTATTGGAGTTGTGGATATTTCTTTTGGAGAGTCTGTACCCTTCAAAGGCTCAAACGTCTCTCTGTTTTGCTCAGATGAAACATCCTTCAATACCAAAGCTCCAGTAGAGCCTTCAATATTGGAACCTGAATCTGATTCCGTCAAAGATGTGATACAGGAAAGTACAGGTGGTGCACTATTATATCTTGACGGTGGGTATGACACATGCATTGGCTTAACATGAGCGGCATTGTTAGGAGGGATCCACCGAGATATGATATTAGGCTTTGCTTGTCTTGTAGGAGGGGCCTGAGGTTCGAGTTGTTCGCTTTTTGGTTTCACCAAAACAGAATCTAAAGCTGGTTCTGCGTCAGGTGCAGCCTGTTTCTTTGAAGCAGGCATTAGTTCCTCAGGTTTAGGTTGGGAAACGTCAGGTTTCAAGCTTTGTTCAAACATTTTAAACCGCGACTTCTTTGGCGGAATAGTATTGTCTCTGTTTCCTTTATCTTCTATCTCTTCTAATTTGTCAATCACATCTTCTATAACTTCCCTGGTTTCTCTAGCTCTTGGCACATCAGCAGTAAATACCACTGAATCAATTTTCATGGCTCCATCATCAATTGCTATATCTTTCACTGAATTAATGTCGGAATTAATCTCATCTAATTTGTAGTTCACATCATCCACTGCTATGTCCTTCACTGCATCTATACTAGAATACACCGATGCATCCTGTTTGTGAATCCCATCATCTGACGCACAATCTTGAAATGTAGGAGGATCCACATCCTCCCTCCAGACATCTTTCTGATCTGGTTTGTTGTGAGGAACTATCGAATTGCTGTCATTCACCTTTCCTTCCACTGCATCGACTGCATTGCTGAAGATCTCTTCAACTTCGAAAAATTCCTCTGGTGAAGCACTTTCTATCACACTCCTATCTTCACTTGCTACTACTCTAGTGAGACCAGGTGCAGCAGCATCAGGATCCATAAAAAGTACCTGATAAAGAGATAAGTACGATTCAACTCCTAGAGCTTGAGAAAAGAAAAAAATCTCAAAATAAAAATTTTCAGCTTACCTCTGCTCTGAAATCCTTTGGAAACTGATCCTTGGCATCCCACAATACATCAATCTCATCACGGTATAACATTAAAATATTTGCTCGAACAAACGCCGTGTGGAACATAACTCTGAAGATCATCTCTTCCCGTACCAAATCTTCATCCAAATGAATGCACTCAAGCACAATATCCCCTTGAATACGGCAATGAATATCCATTTTCACCAATGCACACTCTTCCTGCAGATAAACCTTATAAGAACATCCTGAATTTTGGGCATTTTAAATTTTTAGTTTCAATTGTGAGAGTAAGACATCACCTTTAGGAAGTGACGAATTTGTTTTTTCTTCTTCGAAGTTGTAAACAGAAGCTTGGAACTTCGGTTGGCTGGTGTTTTCGGGTCCTGGCCATAAACACGGACAACTGGCCTGCACCCTTTTCCCCCTTCAAAGAGTGGAAGAACTCTAAGAATTAGGCAATCCAAAAATAGTGGTGTATCTGAGGGAGGCCAATCAGAACCCAAATTTCTTCTAGAAATATACTGAAGATATCTCAACTGGGATGGCTGAGGGTTCAAAGGAGAAAGAAGCTGCAGAAGGTCCCGAGGAGCTTGCTTGTAGATCATTTCAAGAGTCTTCTGCTCACCAGTGTACTGTTTGCGATATAACAGAAGACCAGCAAGCATGAAAGCAAGTATGGGCCATCCCCCTCTTTCACAGTGCATCAAAAGCACATTCTGCTGTCCTTCCAACGACAACCAACTTTCACTCGATCGAAGGAAGTGGTGAATCATTTCAAGCGGCAGCAGCGGACATCCCTCATATTGCCGTGGGTAGTCCATAACAGTCATATCGTATCGAGTTAAAATGTCTGATACTTGGCTACGCTTCTCCCCTTCTCTGAAATTAAATACCATGAAAGAAGCATCAGGAAAATGGTCTTGTAGCTGCGCCACAATGCCACCCATGTACACCTTGTAATCATCTTCTTCCAACACATCCGTGGAGAAGCAACAGTCAAATACTGCAAAGCAACCAACCCGGAAGTTGAAACAAATAAGCAATTACTAACCCTATGCCATCAAAAAGCAAAGCATCATCTATCAAGTTATTCAGTGTAAACTGTAAAGTTCCTTCCAAATGTTCACAAGAAGATAAAAGCAAATTAGAGTTCCAAACAAAAATATCCATACCAAAAAAATGGTATTCAAACTCAATGCATTGATAAGAGAGAGAAATAGAGCATATTAGTTTCTTAGCTCCAAGTGATTTTGTAACAAACTTCAAAATCAAATAAACTACTAATTCTACTTTAAGGCAACTAAGCCGCCCAATTTCAGCTCATCGCCCCAACAACCATGAAAACAAACAAGCTAAAAATCAGCCAATTTTCTTAACTTTAATAAATTAACCCAAAATAAACCAACAAATCCCTAAAAATCAGGGAATTTAGCAGTGCATTGTCCACATAAATCAACTTCAACGAAAAAGAAATCGAACTACGAATTTTGAACACAACATTCCTAAAGAGAATCAGAGAACTAAAAAACTCGTCACCGTTGGCATTTCTCGGGTAGAATAAAGATGGTTGCCACAATTTAAAGCTTAATCGAACAATAACCAATTAAGAAGAAAATGAATAATAAGGATGAAAATGCTACCGTAGACTCGTTCTGAGATCTCGAGAAGCCGATCCGGCGGCTTCCGGTAAAACAATCGTCTGAACAGCGCCATCTGATGGCGCTTTAACTCCCCCGATCGGATCCAAAACTATTTTTTTCTTTCGATCACCACCATTCAGCTGAACTTTCTATTCGATCCTCCACCATTTCAACAAAACCACCACAGATCCTCGATTCAGATTCTCAAATTCAATGATAACTTCCGTTACTCATCAATAATAAAACCAACTCCGACGTCAAACCAAGCACAATTATCCGTCAAAACCCTCTCCAAAACTCGAGAAATTGTTTCCAAAGAGAAAAACAAAGCTTTGTTATCAAATAATTGTACAAAAGAATAGTCACTTTCCCAAAAAGAAAAATAAACTAAATTAGAGTAAATATTGCAGAGAAAATAAGGAGAAATAAAACTTCGAGGGAAAATAAGGGAAGGTTTGATGCAGATTAAAAAAAATTAAAAATCAAAGGGAAAAAAGTACGAGACATGTGACAGTAGGCGATCAAAGAAGGTGGGGATTATGATGAAAAATAAATAAAGAAAATGAAACTTTCAGATTACAGAAGCGATCTGCCGTAATAAAATTTTTATTTTATGAGGAAAATGAAAAAGAGTAGACTGGAAGGGAAAATTACTCCTTGGACGGTTGGACCCGGGTTTTTATTACTTACGTGTACTCCACGTGGACATCACTTAAAAGCATGGATAAAGCAACTTTTAATCATTGAATTTTGCTAGACTTCTCAATTTGGTCCCTGAATGTTTTTATCTATACTAATCTTTGAATTTGAATTTTTAGTTGATTTTTAATTGTTTTGATAATGTGGCTCAATGTTGGAGTGTCGTACCATCAAAATAAAATGAAAAGACTTTAAATTTTAAAATTAAGATGAACTAAAATAAAATTTAAGGAGTAAATTAAAAAAATATCAATCTAAGAAATTAGTATAAATCAAAATAAATTGAAAATACTAAATTAATTTGGGTAAAGTACACAAATGGTCCCATGACTATAGGTTATTAAGCCCCTCGGCTATTAAAAGTTACAAGATGGTCCTCCAACTATAGAGTGTTGTTTTGTTGAGTCATTCGACTATTAAAAGTTACAAAACCGTCACCCAACTATTCATTATGTTCCAAACTAGTCATTTTTTTGGTTAAAAATTTGGCTATTGTCTAAGATGAACGTTAACATGATAATTGAGATGTGACAGTCGTTTGAGATTTTGGGATTGGATTTTATCATATCACAGTCAGCAAGTTAATGTTCAACTCAAAATACTGTCAAATTTTAACAAAAAATGAAAAAATTGGAACATATTAAATAGTCGAGTGACAATTTTGTAACTTTTGATAGTCGAATGACTCAACAAAGTAACACTCTATAGTCAAGAGACCATTTTGTAACTTTTAATAGTTGAGAGACTTAACAAAATAATACCCTATATTTAGGAGATCATTCGTTTACTTTACCCAATTGATTTGTACTATGTCTACAAAAAAAGGAAAATTTTAGAAGAAAAAACAACGGGAAAGAGAGACAACTATTGTATATTTCCGAATAAGGTTCTATTTAGTCGAATCGAGTTTTAATTATTGTTCAGTTTAACTTAATTTGAAAATTTGTGAGTTTAAAATTGTCAAATTCAATTCAAATTGAAAAAAAATAATTGAAGCTCAACTTGAATTGAAAAATTGCAAGCTTAAAATTTTCAACTCGACTCGAAATAAAAAAAGTGAAACTCGATTGGAGCTAGAAAAACTTGAAATCGAAATATTATTAGACTTAACTCGATTAAAGCTCAAACTCGAACTCAATTCAAACTCAAACTCTGATTTTAACCTAAACCTTAAATACATGAAAGTTTTATATTTTATTTAAAACAAAACAACATATTAATGTTAATATTATTGATAATTTAACTAAAAATAAAAAAATAATATATTATATTTTTTGAGTTTCTCGTAAGTTTTTCAAGTCGGATATCAAGTAGCTCGTTAAAAACGCAAATCGAGTTCGACCTTAAGTTAAATTTATTTGATTTAAATGTTGATTGAACTAACTTTAATCGAATCAAGTTCAAATATCTTACTCTCTCTCTCGCCTAACTTATATATATATTGAATCCTTTTGTAAAATTTAATTCTATCAACTCCTCCATTCTTATTGATGTTTACCTTCCTTCGTTTGTGTCGAAGTTTTATTTGCTTTGCTCTTCTTTATCATACCCGCCTTTCTATCTTGAGTTATTGACAAGAATAATAACGAAAATTACAATTAAAATAATACGAGTAAGTTTCCAATTTTCAGTACTGAATTTTCAGAAGTAATGAAACGGTCACTAATTTTATACTTTTTAACAAATAAATCACTTGAACGCTAACCGTGGTTACTTCATTAAGAGAAATTGATGTATCATGTTCGGATGAATTGGTGATGTTTGACCACGTCGACACCCTTTGACTTTTGACACACATTTTGACCATCCACAATGACACCCTAAAATAAAAGAACTATAAGGGATGATGAATCTATCTCGTCATCCTTGAACGATAAAAAATTGTTAGAAAAACGTGATCGTTTAGTTTTTTTTAAAGTATTTATGAGGATGGTCAAATTAAGAGTAAAAAAAAGGTTTCAACATGGTCAAATAGTGACAAATCAGTCACCTAAACGTGTCACATTAATTTTCTGTTAATTGGGTAACGATTGCTATGGTCGAATGACCGTTCTGTTACTTTCAAAATTTAAATATTAGAAATGAAAACTTACTCATATTTCGATGACCTGTAGTTTACCCTTAATTTTTTAGTAGCTTTGTTTGTCCATCATCAACGGCAACATCAGTGCCTACGTGGCCCAGTTTGGCTGAAATGTGTCCACGAGAATCACCTGCGTCTCAGCTTATTTAATGTATCTGATTAAAACCAATCAGATCACGAAACGTTTTTTAAATAGTACTAATATTCCGGTCACCCCTTACGCGTTTGTGAAACCGAGAAGCATGTGAACATTTCTCCGGAATTGAGGTCCATCTGTTGGGAAATAAATTTAGTGTAGCACATGGATGGCATAATGATATAAAATATCTCTGATATTTTATTAAATAGATACTTTAACTCTTCTTATTTTTTAAAAGTATTTTAGTCCCCAAAACTTTATTTTAGTGAAAAAATACTCATTCATGGATAAAAATTGTTAGTTAATAAACGATTAACACTATAAAATAAAAGATCTTAAAGAGAAATAGAGGTCAAAATGATTATTTAATCACACGTTATAAGCATTTATTTTGGCATTATGCTTATTTTATGTATGTAGAGATGTTTATTAATATGATCGAATCAAATTTATGTATGAGAATAACGTATTATGTTTATCCAATTCAATTTTATCTCCAATATGATTTTTTTTATCAATAAGATTATAATGTGTGTCACAATTTTATTATATAATACTAATTTAGTAAATAAAATAAAATAATATGTGAACATGTTGACTCACGATATGTGGGTGTATCATGTCAGCTTAATAGTTCAATGACTGAAGTAAAAGTTTTCTTAACGATAGTGACTTTAATGAAACTTTTTCGATTTCAATATTCAAAGTGAAAGTATCCTAAAACTTCAATGACCACCAATATAATTTACTCTTTTTATAATAACACTTTTTTGTATATACATATTTATTTGATAAATTATAATTATATATTATCTGATAACACCCTTTAGTTAAAGTATTTAAATAAAAGATTAAAAGTCAGTGTAATTAATTATATATGTAATTACTATAATTTCCACACCCCTTACTCTAATTACATTTTATTTAATGAGATTGTTTTTGGATAATCCATTTTCATTACCCATGAAAGCATGAAGCTTGCTACAAGAAACCAATTCACTACATAAACAACAAATTAACAGCTAGCTATACAACCACAAACCATGAAACAGGGAACAAGAATCCTCTAAACTCACGAGATCCCCCAGCTTACACAGAGGGTAACGTTCCTCGAGTCTACTCTGTTGATAGACCAGCCATTCAATCGAATCTGGATGGTTTATCTAATATCCTCTAGAACATCATCCATCAGCCTAGCCTTTCCCCCAAATAGACTATTATTCCTCTCCTTCCAAATGCCATATACATAACTAGCCAAAGCGAGTTTAAACACTCTAACTATGATAACTTACACTTAAAATAATGGATAGCCCATGCCAATTCATTGTCCCATCTGTTTACTCTACGATTGACACCACATAGAGAAAGTATAGCCACCCATAAAGCTTTTGCAAAACCAAACTCAAAGAAAATGTGACTTCTAGTCTCAGGCTCAATGTCATAAAGCAAGCATTTATCATTCTCAATTATTAATCCCATCCGCAGGAGCCTAACTCGAGTAGGAATCCTATCTAAGATAGCCATCCATAAGATTATACTATGCTTTGGGATACGCCTAGGGAACCAAACCAGTTACTGCCACAAGACCCTTGGAGTTGTGGTGCACATGTCCTCCCAGACGTGTCTCGTGCTAAGTTCTCTGACCGGATCAGCAACTAAGTGAGAAATAATAGGCCTCATTTTCAATAATCTCTTAAAACTCCAGCTAGAATTTGTAGGGGAATTCCTTTTCCAATAGGTTTCTGATCAGTTTCACAATGCAAGCCTTATTCTAGCTACCTATGTCAATTACACTAAGACCCCCTTCAGATTTCAGCAAACAAATCTGCCTCCAGCTAACTCGGGCACCCTTAGCAGGCAAGTCAGCTCCCTTCTAGAAGAATCGAGAGCATAATTGCTCAATTTTCTTTATTATCGCTAAAGGTAGCATAATTTGTCTGCACCATTAGTTTGTTATGCTGAATAAAACATCACGCATCAATTGTGATCTACCAGCGAAACTCAAATGTCTGTTTACCCATAAATTCAGCTTAGCCCTTATCTTATCAATAAGGCATTGGCAATCCTTCTCTGCGAGTTTTTTAGTCACCAAAGGAATTCCCAAGTACCTTACAGGAAGCTTCCCTATCTTGAATCATGTAATCTCTCTAATATCATTACACTGCACAATAGATATCCCACTACATATATCACATTTTCTTGCATTTAGTTTCAACCCCGACAGAGAGTAAAATACATCCAAAACAGATTGAACACCAATAATAGAGTCAATAGAGCCTTTGCAGAAAATAAGTAAATCATCAGCAAAACAGAGATGAGTTATGCCAATCCTTCTACAATTGGGGTGGAAGTTAAAGATTCCCTTTAAAGCTGCCACATTCAATAGGCTAGACAAAACATTCATGGCAAGGACAAAAAGATAAGGAGAAAGGGGATCACCTTGACTTATACCTCTAGCACCCCTAAAATAGACAACTAAGCTACCATTTAATGAGATTTATGGATTA